TCTGGTGAGCACACATGCCCTGTATCAAAAACCTCTCAAAAAAAAGAAAGAAACTTTGTTAAATTCTACCACAAAATTTAATCCCCAAAGCCATTTGGGATTTCTTCCATAGGAGAGAAAATTTCCATCTGGGTCCTGAGTTTCAACAAAAGTTGCAGTAGGAGCTGGCAAGTGGAGTGGTGGTTAAGGTGCTGGACTCTCACATGACCGACTGTGGTTTGAGTCTGGGACCTGGCGGGCTTTCTCACTTTCTCTCTTCCTCTCTCACTCTGTCCCTCCCTATGTGGTCAAATAAGTAAATAAATAAAGTTAAAAATAAAATAACTCTTTTTTAAAATAAAGAATAAAAATAACATTCTTTTTATAAATAAAGAAAAATAATTCTTTTTTAATAATCCTTTTTTAAAAAGAATTATTTTATTTAGCTTTATTTATTTATTTACTTAGTTCCATTTGAGCAGAGAGGGACAGAGAGAGAAGGAAAGTAAGAAAGCAAGACAGGTCCAGGACTCGAACCATGGTCGGCCATGTGGGAGTCCAGCACCTTAACCACTACGCAACCTACTGGCCCTGAAAAAATAAAATAATTCTTTTTTTTTAAAGTTGCAGTAAAAGTACCAGGTGCTCAGCTGTGTGGTCAGGCAAGTCTGTCGTCCAGCATCGGCTCTGACAGACCCCCAGCAGGCACAGGCCACTAAGCCCCTGTCCCCGTGGCTCCACGGAGATGGAGTGTGCACAGAACACCTGCTGGCCCGGGCACAGGAAGCACCGTGGGCTCACACTCTCACACAGCCTTACGTTTTCACAAGCTTTGCAGAGTCACCCGAGTGAGCCTCTTTCTTATAATTGTATGTATTATCATTATTATTAATTTAATTTGACCAGCGAGAGAGACAGGGAGAGTGAGATAGCAAGCTGCCAGATCCAGGATTCAAACCACGGTCGGCCATGTGGGAGTCCAGCGTCTTAACCACCAAGCCACCTACTGGCCCCTGGGTCCTTCTGATCCACATGTGTCTTAGCATGATCGATTGTAATACATCTTAGCAGTTTCCACTGCAGACTAGACTGCGTTAGTGTTTTCTCAAGGTATTTGAGGTATTCTCTGGTAATTGTGCCACGTAGGTCATTGATAGACCAGTTCTTCAGTCATCTCAGTCGCCGCCAGCTCCCTGACAGCAACTCTGCGGTGTCAGCAGCATCTGCTGACCCAGCACAAGCTGAGGAGTCACTGGGCTCCAGGCTGTCGTGGTCCTCCCGCTGTCCTCAGCTCGCCAAGGTGCTCTTGCCTAGAGGCCAGGAGGTGAAGAGGCATTTTCTCTGCACATAGTACAGCTTGTTTTGCTGTAGGGTGTCTGTGCTTGCCAGAGAGAGTGAGAGGAAAAGAGTGGGAAATCATCCCCCAGGGGATGACCATGCCATAGTCCCTTCCCCATCCCCCTCTAATGATTTTGGGCCAACGTGCACATGCTCCCAGTGTCTCTCAAGCCAAGACAACTCGAACTGCACAGTGGCCATGTGGGATCCAGTTGCCTTGAGATTTGGAACACACAGGCACACGTGCCTGGCGTGTTTTTCAAGCTTCCAAACCGAGGAATCAAACTGTGCAATCAGCCATGTAGGGTTCAGCTACCTTAACCACCATGCCGACTAGCCAGCCCTTGGTTTTCTAAGTTTTGCCCAAGGGTGTATATGCTCAACACAGAAATGGAGGGAGAGGAGAATGCCCCTCCTGTGGGGGTGGTCACTGCGACCCCTGCTCCATCCCTCCTGCAAGGACGCGGGCACTTACAGGTACCCAGCATTGCACACGCAGCTCTGGCCGCTGCAGAACACAGGCAACCCACCTTCATGAGCTTTCTTTGCGTGGCTAAGAAGGGAGCCACTTTAAAAACTTATTTTAGTGTGAAGATTATTTTCATGTTTGTGAAGTAGTTCTGCTTTGAGAAGGTATGCTAGAACCCCGGGAGCCTGCAGGGTGATCTGCTGTGGTTCATAGCCAGGGCCCCTTGGCTGTGCGGGGCCGAACAGCGGGAGGGACGCGCTGACAGACGCGGGCGCAGGCATCTCTAGGTGTGTCTACAGTCAGTTCTCACGCTCCGGCATTCGTTCTGGGCGGCAGTCCTGCCTCTGAGGGTACCGATCACCAGCCAGTGTTAGCCTCGCTGTCTGTCTGTGCAGCTTGTTGCTTGGTGACACTTTATCGAAGAAGCAGTGCGTAGATAGGGCCAGCTGGTGGCACTGAGGTCAGGGCAGCCGGATCCCAAACGGCTGATAGCACGGCCGAGTCAGCCTGTGGGTGCGTCTTTTAGAGTTTTGCTATAAGGTGCATGTGCTCACTGGACAGACAGAGAGCCAAAAGGTGAGAAAGCATCCCCAGAAGATGGCTATGCCACAGTCCCTGTCCCTCCACGCTTCTCTCAGGATCTTGGGCATGCACAGGCACCCAGTGTGAGTTTAAGCTGCCAGGCCCAGGACTCAAACAGCGGTCAACTATGTAGGAGTCAAGTGATGTAACCATTTCACCCTCTGCTGGCCCCAGTTCTTCTAGTTTTTCTTTTCTGGAGAAGTTTTTGCTACAGGGCGCTTGTGCTCACCAGAAAGACAGAGCAGAGACAGAGAGACAGACAACGAGAAATCATCCCCCCCCACCCCACCCGCGGAGGATGGCTACGTTGCAATGCCTTCCCCTCTATTCTCCTCTCGGGATCTTGGGCATCCCGTACATGAGCCATGTGTGAATTTAAGCCATCAGGTCTGGGACTTGAACTGTGGTCGACTACGTGGGAGTTAGCCATTACGTCATCTGCTGGTCCTCTTTTAGTTTTTTCTAGGTTGACAAAGTAAGGATACTTTTCTTTCTTTCTTTCTTTCTTTTTTATTTTTAAGAATTATTTAAATAAACTTATTTATGACTGGAACATCAGTTGGCCATGTGGGAGTTCAGTGCCCTTAACCACCACGCCACCTGCTGGCCCCTCCTTCCATTTAAATCTCTCAGATTTTTTTTCTTATCTCTGGCATTCATTAGCATTTCCTTTTTTTTTTCCTCTCTCTTTTTTTGGAGAGGTTTTTGCTACAGGGCATGTGTGCTTGCCAGACAGAGAGAGACAGAAAGCGAGAAATCACCCCCCAAGGGGGATGGCCATGCCATAATCCCTTCTCCATTCTCCTCTCGGGATCTTGGACACACACACGCGCCGGCGTGAGTTTAAGCCACCAGGTCCGGGACCCGCTGTCG